GGTGGGGGTGGAGGGTCCCAAATGGGTGAAAGTAGTCAAAAGTTACAAACTCACAGTTCTAAAATAAGTCATGTCATTGGGATGTAATGTACAGCATGGTGACTCTAGTTAATAATACTGTACTGCATATTTGAAAGTTGCTAAGAGTCAATCTTAAAAGTCCTCATCACAAGGAAAAAAAATTTGTAACTACGTATGGTGACAGATGTTAACTAGACTTATTTTGGTGATTATTTGGTAATGTATACAAAATTGAATTATGTTGTATAACTGAAACTAACAATGTTATACTTTCATATCTCAATAATAAAAAATATAATTTAAATAGTTCATATTGCTGTGTTTCAGTCTGCAGTGATATGAAAATAATTTTTCCCTTCCTGATTGTAAGGATTATTTTCTAAATACATACAAGTCATATTTATTACATACTCCCACTTTTGCCAATTACTCCTTAGAGAAATGTAGCTATAATACTAATCTCTGCCACCCAGAATTTTTCATTCCTTTAAAGAGTAACTCATTTCAATTTTTTTCTCTTGATCTGGCAATGCAGATCAGGTTAAAAACAAACTTGTATATTTTTTAAGAATATGAGGTAAAAAATTTTCAGTATATGTACTGGATCAATGCCATTTTCCCCTTTTTTTTTTATGTCACCACATTAACTTATTCAAAGGATGAGCATGTGATTTCTCCAATGATACAGAAAAATATTTGACTCTTGATTACTTAAAAACTAAAACAAAATAAAACATTGGGCCGGCCGAGTGGCGCATTGGTTAAGAGCTGGCTTGGGACGCCAGAGGGCCACGGTTTGGATCCCACATATGAGGGCCAGTGAAGAACAAAACGACAGCAACTTGTCTGTTCCCCTTTCCCCAATTCCCCAGCGCTGTTCCCATCCCCCAATTCCCCAATAAAAATCTTAAAAACAAAACAAACAAAAAAAACCCCTGTCCTTCCTGATCTCTCCCCTCCTTGCTTTACAAAAAATAAAAAATAAAAAATAAATAAAACAAAATAAAACATTACCTGAGACTAGGGATAGAAAACTTGGAACTTCCTTAATTTCTTTCCTTTTTTTTGGAACTTAATTTCTTTCCTTTTTTTTATTAAAATTTATTGGGGTGACAATGGTTAGTAAAATTACGTAGGTTTCAGTGTACAATTCTCTAATATATCATCTATATATCACATTGTGTTTTCATCACCCATAGTCAGTTCTCCTTCAATCGCCATATATTTGACTCCATTTACCCTCATCTACCACCTCCTCCCACCTTACCCTCTGGTAACCATTGAACTATTGTCTGTGTCTATGAGTTCAAGACAAACTATTGAAGAAACAATGCCCTTTTCAAGTTCTGTTATTTCATGAACTTCAAGAAAAGAGAGATTACCAGATATGTAGTGTAATAAAATTCTCCTATCACTTAAAATTGATAAGTATTGGATTCAAAAGTCAGTAACCCAATGTGTACACATATATGTATTATATGAGTGTGTATATATGATGTATTTATCATAAAATCATAATGTTGAGGTGTATATATGATGTATTTATCATAAAATCATAATGTTGAGGTTAGTAATGAATGAATCAGGGAAAATTGTACATATTTTAAAATGTGTTTACTGTAGAATATATTTAAAACATTCATTTTAAAATTCAGAAGTATAAATGTGTATTGTAGAGTAAATAGCATTCTTGAAATTAATTTCTACAAACTTAATTGAGTTGGGGGTAATCACAATACATCACAACAATCGAAATAAGTATTTTCTTCAATATCCTTCATTGAACACATTTTATACATTATAATACTCCTCTGGTCATTTTTTTCTCTAAGGGAATTTCCATAAATTAATTGCTATATAGTAGGCAAAATAATGGTGTCTTCCAAAGCTAAGCATTTGATAATAGCCAGAACCTCTGGATATGTTAGGTAACATGGCAAAGGAATTAAGGTAGCAGATGGACTTCAGGTTGCTAATCAGGTGACCTTATGACAGAATTTTTTCCTGGATTATCAGGGTAGGCTCAATCATTTAATCACAAGGGTCCTTAAAAGTGGGAGAGAAGCAAAACAGCAAGTTAGAGTGATGCCATGTGAAGAGGCCTCACTCTGACCTGCTGTTGGCTGGTTTTGCTGATGGAAAAATGAGGGAGGCCTGTAGAAGCTAGAAAACAAGGAAACGGTTTCTCCCTTGAAACCTCCGCAAAAGAATATGGCCTTGCTGATACCCGGATTTTAGCCCAGTGAGAGCCATGTCAGACCTAATTTACAGAACTGTAAGATAATAAATTGTATTGTTTTAAGCCTTTTAGTCTGTAGTAAATTGTTACAAGAACAATAGAAAAGAAACACACTCTGTAGAATATTAAATAAAACTTACTTTTCTTGTAAACATCAAATGGAATAAGGTATCCTGAAGTCTTCAAAAGCTGCATTTGATTATGAATATATGAAAACATTTTCATTATGCACTGAGGGAAAAGTTGAGGATAAAAAGGATTAAGATAGTCTAAATAGAGACTGTAGTCTAGTCTGCTATGGTTCTTGATACCTCTTGAAAATTCAGAAATGTTCATTGTGGAGGGAGATGTATTTTTATGATACACTTGAGAGCTAGACCAGAGTTTGAGCTGTTACAGGGCCAGGATAATTTTTGGGGTTTACCATTCACGAAAGGGTATTTGATTTGGTTAAACATTGTCCATTGTCATATTACCTCTTTTAGTTAAAAAAAAAAAGTTACATACAGTGGGTATACAATTTTATATTAGTTTCAGGAGTAAAATATAGTGATTCAACATTCAATCATATATTCTTTATGAAGTGATCACCACAAGTCTGGTATACATCTGTGACTGTACATAGCTATTACAATATTATTGACTCTATTCCCTGTTACCATTTGCCCCAACCCCCGTCACCCTGCTTCCTTCTGGCCACCATCAATTTGATCTGTTTCTGAGTCTGTTTTTGTTTTATTTATCTATTTATTTATATTCCACATAGAAGTGAAACCATACAGTGTCTTTCTCTTATTTCACTTGGCACAGTACCCTCTAGGTCTATCCATGTTATTGCAAATAGCAAGATTACCTGCTTCTATCTGAGAGAATTGCGGAAAGGATTTAGCCTCAGAACAATAGCTAATATTTACCGAACATTCATTAAATGTCAAGTTGTACTGAGTGGTTTCCATCCATCATTTGATTCTCACAATAATCTTTTGAGAACAGTACTACTATTCCTCCCATTTTACAGATGAAGAAACAAGCATAGGGATGTTAAATAACTATCATAAGGTAAATGTGATAGTGCTCTCATTTTAAAACACAGGCATTCTGACCCCCAAACCCACTTAGTGACTGCTCTTAGGCAGAGCCTGTTATTTCAGTTCTTTTACACACATGGGACAAGTTGAGAAGTTAGGTATTTTGCCAAAGACCACAAAGTTATTAGATGCCAGGTCAATGAATCAAACAAGGCTTGTTTGATTCCTGTATCAATTATTTTTTACAACACTCTCCCTTTCCAATTCTCCAGAAGGAGGCAAGTATACTAAAGAATACCAGTGACCTGTATCTTTAATATTTCAACTCACATGTAGGTCACAATAGTAATGCTTAAAAACAGTGTAGCACATACATTTGTTTTGTTAGAAAGATCCATTTGAGACCATATTAAGATTTAAAAGCCAAGAGTGATAATCCTGATGTACTTTGGGGAAATCTAAGTGATTAGCATTATAAATTTCTCTTTGATTATTAATACTGACTTAGCGTTCCATATTGTCTCAGACAGTATTGTCTTATGTATCTTGAAGAAGCTGTAAGATTTGAGTGTTGGACCTAATTCCTGATAGTGCTGTTTAATAAAATATGTCCCCTTTTGGAACGCAGAATCCCACACTTAATGAGGAAAGAAGTAGCTTGATCTCTTGGGCTATTTAGGAGATGACGTTGGAAATCTATTGCACAGCTTTCCTTCTAGATCAGAAATTTACTATCTTTGTGGGCAACCCACATATAACTGTTTTACCTTTATGGAATGCACTTCATTATCCTTATCATTTATGACATTTTGGGAACACAAGCCTCCTTAATTACTGCTTTTTTAATGTCTGAAGAGTGCTGTTATTCTTGTTAAGTCTTTTTTTTTTTTTTTAGATTTTTTATTGGGGAATTGGGGGAAGGGGAACAGACAAGTTGCTGTCCTTTTGTTCTTCAGTCTAGTTGTGAAGGACGTTGTTTCACTGGCCCAAGTTGGCACCATCATTGCGCTCTTCCCAGGCAAGGCAGATCAGTCGCCAGCTTCGGGACATCCACTCACAGTGGCTGCTGGCTACACACGGTAGCCCATGGCAACCCACTGCCACAGGGGCTGCAGCCTACACCATCGCCGGCGACTCACGGCAGCCCAGCTCCAGGTTGAGCTGTTGTTCAGCATCTTAGCTGTAGAGGGCAGTGTCACTGGCCCTCATATGTGGGATCCAAACCGGGGCCCTCTGGCGTCCCAAGCCAACTGTTAACCAACGCACCACTTGGCCGGCCCGTTTAGTCTCTTAAAAAGGCAAAAAGATAATTTTTTCCAATCTCCTCTCTCTCTAAATATACGAGCCATAAAGCATACATGTTATCACAGTGGATATCCAGGCAGTTAGACGACTAATGCACACACAAGAAGCTAGTTCCATTCTAACTATGTGGGTTGGCAATATATGATTCATGAGACACATCTTAGCAAATGCATATTGTAAGCGCCTTTCTTTGCTAAAAAATTATACCATTACATAAGTGTCTCAAGTTATATATGTCTGCATTTTGGAGTAACAAAAGTGAATGCCAGGAGGAGACAAAGAATACTTAATGTAATAAGATGTGGTCTAACAAAAGGGAATGAATAAAGAAAAAGCATATAAAAAGTAATATATTCTTTAGCTTAACCTGCATTCTTTATGGTTTTTGTTTGTTTGTTTTCTAATAGGCACATCATCTTTGCTCCAAGTAGGCACAACAAATATGCTGGAGAATCATTTCCTGGGATCTATGATGCTATGTTTGATATTGAAAATAAAGCAGACCCACGTTTAGCCTGGAGAGAAGTAAAGAAACACATTTCTATTGCAACCTTTACAATTGAAGCAGCAGCTGGGACTCTGAAAGAGGTGATGTAGTAAGGTCTCAGCCAAGTGGCTAGCCACTAAAAGTGTTACTGCAAATCTGAGGATAAAATCCGTCTTTGTTTTTGATCTTTCTTTTCATGTCATGTTTTATTTTAGACTTCCACCTTGTTCATCTGCAAAGAATTGTTTTTTTTCTTTTTTTTGGCTCATTGAAAATTTGTAACTTCATCACCAAAGTGTTAAACTAATAAAACTCCACTCATGTGACAAAGAGACAAAGTAACTGAAAATTTCCTAAAATAAATTATGACAAGGAACTTGAATTCTCACACTACTGATAGTGATAGATATGCAAAATGGTATAGCCAGTTAGGAAAATAGTTTGACAGTTTGTTATCAAGCTAAACATATACTTACTCTGACTCCAAAATTCCACTTCTAGGTATTTACTAAAGAGAAGCAAAACACGATGACAAAAAAACCTCTTCTAGGCATGCTTCTAGCACCTTAAAGTGGATGAATTCAACAGATGAATGGGTAAATTGTGGTATATCCACAATGGAATACTATTCAGCAATACAAATGAAATAACTGCCAATACATGAAGTATTATTGGCAGACATTGTTGATGGAAAGAAGCCAGACACAAAATACCTAGCATATGATTCTATTTATATGAAGAAGAGGCAAAACTAATCTATGGTGTTAGAAATCAATTAGATCAGTGATTGCCTGGGGCAAGTAAGGGGCAGGGAGGAGATTGACTGCAAAGAGGCAAACTTTCATGGGATAATAGGAGTTTTCTGTATCTTGATGTGAGTCATGGTTACACAGCTATATATATTTGTCAAACCTCATCAAACTATAAACTTAAAATGTGTGAAAATTTGATTACCTTCCCTCCAAACAAAGAAAAGGCTGGCAGGCAAACCAGTATAGAGAATTTGTGTGTGTGTGTGTGTGAAATCACTGTGGACTGCAAATCGTAAAAAAAAAAAAGTGCATATACATACTTTTAATAAGTTCACCTCTACTGAATGATGTATAAGTCTGATAGGTGAAGAAAATAGTTGACATAAACCTGCATATGCTGACTTCTCTAAATCAAATTATATATAAAACTATATCAGCATCTGTCAACTTTTATGCAGAGCCTAATAACTCAGAATTATGGGTAAACTAAGACAAAAGCTTCAATAAGCTTGGATGTTCAATTACTTAGCCAAAAAAGTGTTAAGAATCAAAAATTAAAAGAGCTCTTATAGGTAGGCACGCTAACTACAATTAAGAAGTGACAGCTCAAAGTTGACTGCAAGGAGAAACTACCCGTGCTACCCTTGCTTGCTGACCAATAAACCAGTGGGAAAACTTAGTTTAGAGATAAACACGTGCTATGTGTCTCAATATTACCAGAGGATATCTCACTGATTCCCCACAATAAAATAAATGGGAGGCATAGCAATGACCCTGAGTCATCAGGATAAATTTTAAATATAACCCATTCATTCTGCTTAAAGAGGCAATAGAGCACTCTGCTTTATAAAGCAAAATACACCCAGTTTTAAATTGGATTGTTTTTTCGTTGTTGAGTTGTATGAGTTCCTTATATATTTTGGATATTAGCCCCTTATCGGAGGTGTTATTTGCAAAAATCTCCCATTTGGTTGGTTGCCTCTTTAATTTGTCGATGGTTTCTTCTGTGCAGCTTTTTAGTTTGATATCGTCCCATTCATTTATTTTAGCTTTTATTTCCCTTGCCTTTGAAGTCAAATTCATTAAATCGTCTTTGAACCCCAGGTCCATAAGTTTAGTATCTATGTTTTTTTCTATGCAGTTTATTGTTTCAGGTCTTATGTTTAGGTCTTTGATCCATTCTGAGTTAATTTTGGTACACAGTGACAGGTAACAGTCTAGTTTCATTCTTTTGCACATGGCTTTCCACTTCTCCCAGCACCATTTATTGAAGAGGCTGTCGTTTCTCCATTGTATGTTTTTGGCTTCTTTGTCAAAAGTTATATGCCCATATTTATGTGGGTTTATTTCTGGGTTCTCAGTTCTATTCCATTGGTCGGTGTTTGTTTTTCTGCCAGTACCATACTGTTTTGATTACTGTTGCTCTGTAGTACAAGCTGAAGTCAGGGAGTGTGATACCTCCAGCATTGTTCTTTTTTTCTTAGGATTGTTTTGGCTATTTGGGGTCTTCTGTGGTTCCATAGAAATCTGATGATTTTTGTTCCATTTCTTTAAAAAAAATGCATTTGGGATTTTGATGGGGATTACATTACATCTGTCTATTGCTTTGGGTAATATGGCCATTAATACTCACAGACACAGACAATAGTTTAGTGGTTACCAGAGGGTAAGGGGAGAGGAGGGTAGTAAATGAGGGTAGAAGGGGTCAAATATATGGTGATGGAAGGAGAACCGACTCTGGGTGGTGAAAACACAATGTGATATATAGATGATGTATCACAGAATTGTACACCTGAAACCTATGGTATAACTTTACTAACCATTGTCACCCCAATAAATTTTAATTAAAAAAAAAGCAAAGTACATTATTGATAAAGTATAAGTACATTTATAACACATGTAAAATTACATTTTTGTAAAAATTGTTTTAGCAAATTAGGGATTTAACTTCAATACCATACTATATATTTCCTTAGTAAATACTTTATTTTAGAGTAGACCGAGGAGTAACTGTATGTTAACTTTTGTTTTGAAGCATTATGTTGTAGACAGGATATTGGGTTGAGACCCATGAGTCACTTTTCCACTATCCAACTGAGTAAATCACTACATATTTCTGGGCATCAGTTTCCTCATGAGTAATGGTTTTTAAGGTTTCCTCCAACTCTATTATATCATTTCTAAAAGGGACAAAAGTTCATAAATCTAATTATGTTCTTCCTGCTGGTTGCTAAAAACAGCATATGTGATTGAAAATATAAGTTTGAAGGAGAACAGTAACCTTTGCAACTTAATGTTTCCTTTATCTGGTAAACTATTTTGTTTTTATCATCTTTAATCAACAGTTGATCATTAAAACAGAATAAGTTATTATGTGGCATGCACTATAATCAATTCAGGACATTAGAGACAGAATATGTGCTACCATATGTTCAATGTGTTTAAACTATTTTTTTTTAAACTTTTCCCCCCAGGACTACTTATTGTATGAGATATACAAAGGTAGAAACAGAGGGATAAAGAAACAAGAGATACAAAACAACCAGAAAGCAAATGATAATAGGACATTAGTAAGTTCTTATGTATCAAGGACTTATATATCAAAGACTAAATATAAATGGATTGAGTTCACCAATCACAAGACACAGAGTGGCTGGACGGATTAAAAAACAAAACAAAAAAAGTATACAATGCCTACAGGTAACCCATTTCAGTTTTGAAGACACACACAGGCTCAAAGTGAAAGCTATTCCATGCAGTGCAAACCAAAAGAGAGTGGGCACTGCCATACTTTTTTCAGACAAAATAGACTTCAAGCCAAAAATGAAAGGAGACAAAGAGAGTCATTATATATTGATAAAAGGGTTAATATACCAAGAAGATATAACAACCGTAAATATATACATACCCAAAATATATTAAGCAAATACTAACAGATCTAAGGGAGAAACAGACAATACAATAATAGTAGGATTCTTCAATACCTCACTATCAAGCAGAGATAGATCATCCTGACAGAAAATCAACAAGGAAACATTGGAATTGAAATACACACTAGAACAGGGGTTGGCAAACTGCGGCTCCTGAGCCACATGTGGTTTTTGGGTACATACATGTGGCTCTGAAATAAAATTGAAAATGAAAATAAAACTATCATAGTTTCATTGATAAAATTTCTAAAGGGTATTATTCACATAATGGTGATTTCATTTGTTTTATAGGTCTTGCAAAACTTCAAGGGACAGGATTGGCTCTTCCAGGGATCGCAAACTTTTGAGACAGAAGAGCCAATTTTGTCCCTCACAACAATTTAAAAATTATTCAAGAGCCATAAATATATTTTTACATAATCACCATTACGTGAACAATATCCTTTAAAAATTTTACAAATGAAACTATGATAGTTTTATTTTCATTTTCAATTTTACTTCAGAGCCACATGTACATACGTACCCAAAGAGCCGCAGTTTGCTGATCCCTGGTGGCTCTTCCGTCTCAAAAGTTTGCCAACCCCTGTTCTAGAACAAATGGCTTACCACACATATTTAGAATATTCAACCCAACAGCAGCAGAATACACATTGTTAAGTGCATATGGAACATTTTCCAGGATAAGTCATATGATAGGGTACAAATCTCAGCAAATGTAAGAAGACTGAAATCATGCCAATTATCTTTTCTGACCAAAATGGTATGAAACTAGAAATCAACAAGAGGAATGCTAGGAAATCTACAAATCTGTGGAAGCTGAACAACCAATGGGTCAGGAAAAAATCAAACGGGAAATAAAAAATTATCTCCAAACAAATGAAAATGGAAATACAACAAAACAAATATTATGGGGTTCAGGGCCGGCCAAGTGGCGCGATGGTTAAGAGCTGGCTTGGAACGCCAGAGAGCCCCGGTTCAGATCCCACATATGAGGGCCAGTGACACTGCCCTCTACAGCTAAGATGCTGAACAACAGCTCAACCTGGAGCTGGGCTGCCGTGAGTCGCCAGCGATGGCGTAGGCTGCAGCCCCTGTGGCAGTGGGTTACAGTGGGCTACCGTGTGTAGCCAGCGTGAGCAGCCAGCAGCTGCAGTGAGCGGCCATCCAATAGCCGGCGACTGATGTGCCTGACTCGGGAAGAGCGCAATGATGTTGCTAACTTGGGCCAGTGAAGCAACGTCCTCCACAACTAGACTGAAGAACAAAATGACAGCAACTTGTCTGTTCCCCTTCCCCCAATTCCCCAGCACTGTTCCCATCCCCCCAATTCCCCAATTTAAAAAAAAAAAAACTTAAAAAAATAAAAGAAAATCTGAAGAGACTAATAATGAGCAAAGAGATTGAATCTTAAACCTCTCAACACAAAAACCCAGGAGAAATGGCTTTACTGGTGAAGTCTACCAAACACTCAAAAAATTAACACCAGTTCTTCTCATTTTCTTCCAAAAAAATTTAGGAAGAGGAAATACTTCCAAACTCATTCTATGAAGCCAACACTGCCCCGATACCAGAGCCAGATAAGGATACCACAAGAAAACTATAGATCAATATCCCTGGTGAATACAGATACAAAAACTCTCAACAAAATACTAGCAAAGAACACATAGAAAGGATTATACACCACGACCAAGTGGGATTTATCCCTGGAAAGCAAAGATGGTTCAACATATGCAAATCAATAAATGTAATACATCACATTAATCAAATGAAAGATAAAAATCACATATCATCTCAATAGATGCAAAAAAAGCATCTGACAAAATACAATATCCTTTCATGATTAAAACCCTCAGAGACTGCATATAGAAACAAACTCTGAACATACTGAAGGCCATAAACAACAAACTCACAGCTAACATAATACTCAGTGGAGAAAAATGGAAAGAATTTCCTCTAAGATCAGGACCAGGACAAGGATGCCCACTCCCACTACCCTATTTCAATATAGAACTGGAGAGTATTAGCTAGAGTGATTAGGCAAGACAATGAAACAAAGGCATCCAAATTGGGAAGGAAGTAGTAAACCTGTTGCTATTTGCAGATGATATGATTTTGTACCTAGAAAATCCCAAAGACTCAACCAAAAAAAACTGTTGGAAATAATCAATGATCCCAGTAAAATTATAGGATGAAAAATAAACATACAGAAATCAGTTATATTTCTATACAATAATGATGAAACATCTTTAAAAGAAATGAAACAATCCCATTCACAATAGCATAAAAAACAATAAAATACTTAGGGAATAAATTTAACCAAGGAAGTGAAAGATCTCTAACAAAAACCCTAAGACTGCTGAAAGAAATCAAAGACACAAACAAATTGCATATCCCGTGTCCATGGGTTGGAAGAATTAATATTGTTATGTCCATATAACCCAAAGTCATCTGTAGATTTGATGCAACCCTCATTAAAATACCAATGGCATTCTTCACTGAAATTAAAAAAAAAATCCAAAATTTGTGTGGAACCACAAAAGGCCCCAAATAGCCAATGAAATCCTGAGGAGAAAGAACAAAGCTGGAGGTGGTATACTTCCTGATTTCAAAGTATATCACAAAACTACAGCAATAAAAACAGTATGGTACTGGCACAAAAATAGACACATAGACAAATGGAATAAAACAACAGAACACCCACTAGACTTAATCCCTGCTTATACAGTCAACTAATATTTGACAAGCGAGCCAAGAGCATCCAATGGGAAAAGGATAATTTCTTCAACAAATTGTGCTGGGAAAACTGGACAAATACATGTAGAGCAGTAGGCCCCATCTTACGCCATGCACAAAAATTAACTAGAAATGGATCAAAGACTTAAACATAAGACCTGATACTATAAAATTCCTGGAAGAAAAAGTAGGGAAGAGGTGTGAATTATCACTATAATGGCAATCATAATATATAAATGTATCAAATTAACA